TAATATAATAATAATAATAAGAGTCTGCTAAATATATGTTTATTATTGGTACACTTTAAAACATCACCCTAAGCAACAAAGAAGCGCCTTCTGTCGTCGTAACATAACATTTTTCCAAGCGTATATCGATTACAAAAAGCTATCATATCTACCCATATTTTCATATTCAAATCTTTGAATGAGGTCCGTTAGCTATAAAACCAGCAGTATGTTATTCATCCAATCCTATACTATTCATATACAGAATCACCCAATCACAGAACAAACATAATTCTCGAATTATATCTATCACAGTTTCACAATTTCTGAAGTACAGGCTCTGGGGACGAACCCTTCCCCTCCCGTTGCGGATCGGACCCAAAGCCAGTCTTTTAAATCGTTATTTATTAATGTTAACACATCTCCCTTTTTAACTGTCATGATATTGCGCCCTCTACTGGTGTATTCTTGAATGACACATAGCTCTTTTTCTGACTTGGCGCCATTGTTCTCAGTGTTCCAGAAAGCATCTTTGAACATGACTCTTTCAGCCGAATGTTCCCCGATTTTCTCCATACCATTAACTTGAGATCCAGGTTTGTGTGACATCCGCCTTGGATGATTAAGCATCTTGGTAGTGGACACAGCCAATTTCATATCACGTTTGTCCGTTGAAGGTTCTATTTCTAAAGCTTGCTGACCATTTTTCAGTGACGTGCATTCTTTCGATGATAAAGTTTCGTTTCTGTCACACCGTAAGTTCGCCTTTTCTTCAGTAAACATGACTTCCAAGTGAGAGCCACGTATTTTGTCTTTGACGGTGACGACATCCCAAGGATGAGATTTCACCGATTCTCTCGTTAGCAAAGCACCTAACGGCATGCAGTCAGCCGAGTGAATGAAACCTTCTACCCCATGGGGGGTCTGAACGAAAAACCAATCCGATTCCTTATAGAACGCGGTGACTAGAGTCCCCATCTGAAGAGAAGACTGTTGAAAAGGGGGATCCTTACCGAGATGGAGATGAAGCCTTGTATACTGCATGACGACCATTGGCACGGCCACTGAATTATCTTTTGTTGCTTCTTCAAGTAATGTATTTAGGCTTAAGGAATCCGTGGCTTCGTTTCGACGCTCTAACGACGAATTAGTTGTTTCCGTAAAATTGCTTCCGGTAATTCTCTGATCTTTGAACTCCACAAGATTCCGAGATTCGCTGTCAGTTGCTTGATCTTCTTTTAGTGGTGTATTCACGTCATCATTTACGTTATTGTCTTCTTTTTCAACAGAAACTTCAGTATTTTCAAAAAATCCTTCCTGGTTGGCAACCGAAGTGAGGGAAGACGATACCGTATCTTTGTCATACAAGTCACTCTTATCCTCAACGTGTCCTCTTCCCAAATCGTGAAGAGTTGTTTCCTCCTTATGGCTCTCTGCAGTCCTTAATCCTCTTCCCAGATCGTGAAGGGTTGTTTCCTCCTTATGGCTCTCTGCAGTCCTTAATCCTCTTCCCAAATCGTGAAGAGTTGTTTCCTCCTTATGGCTCTCTACAGTCCTTAATCTTCTTCCCAAATCGTGAAGGGTTGTTTCGTCCTTATGGCTCTCTGCAGTCCTTAATCCTCTTCCCAAATCGTGAAGGGTTGTTTCCTCCTTATGGCTCTCTGCAGTCCTTAATCCTCTTCCCAAATCGTGAAGGGTTGTTTCCTCCTTATGGCTCTCTGCAGTCCTTAATTTTTCTTGATTTCTAATAATACGATTTTTTCTCATGGTCGCGTGCTTTTTGTACAACCTTGGTTTAACAGAGAGAGTTCTAGAACTGCTGTTATAAACGGGTCGATCTAGAGCCTTAGAATACTCTTGTGAATATGTCGTTTCGTTAGATCTGTGGTATGTGTTAAACTTTTTCACAGTGACAATAGAGGAAAACTGACTTTCCAACTGTTCATCGTGACATTTCATAGGCCTGGCCCCGTTTTGAACCCACTCTTTAGTTCTGGATTCTCTAAGCGCTTTTTCTTGCATGTTTGTAACTGTAGATAAGTTGCTAGTTGTTTGGTTTAATTCACAAGATTTGTGGTCTTTTTCGGCTTCAGTTCTGCCATTCTGGGAGTCGCACTCTCTTACATTTTCAGAAACCTTCTTCACATTTTCATTATTATACTTATAGCACTTGTCAGTCGCCTTGGTTACGTTTAATACTTTAGTGTTAACGCATTTTAAGTCAAAGGGTGAACCAGGAGGAAGGGCAAATATGGAAGGTTCAGACTCTGAAGACGCCAGGTTGGAAGAATTACACGCTGGAACTGAATCATTATGACCTGCTGGCCAAAGCCTTGACAACCCATAGGCTGGGTTCTCGGTCGAATGACGGCGATGACAACCAGAGTTGAAAGCAAATGACTTGGTAGTGTCCCTCAAGTTTCTCGTGCCCGTCTAAAACACAAACAAATAAGAGATTTTGTTTCTTATATTGGCATACAAACATATTTACTGATTATTGAATTAAGTCAATAGTTTCCAAACATTTTGCGCTGACGACACCCTAACCCACTTACCTTGATTAGCATGACAGCCTCTGCTGCCACATGAAATATTTGTTTGTATTTTTTTTCTTCATTAATTTTTTTCATTAATTAGTCTTTGGTGAAACTCTCGCAACACCACTAGCAACTTGAGCGACACACAGTTTGAAAACCAATGATTTAAGTTTTTATTGCTACAACTAAAAACTCCAGAGTTAACTAAAACATAGCTCAAAGACTTTTAATATAATTAGTTATGGGAAAATTAGTTGATTAAAAAATGCCAAGAGTTTATGGATATATTATTAAATGACAAACATCGGGCATTATAGTAAAGAATGGGGTAATGAAAGATATAAAATGGAATTAGTTTACAGCCCGTTACTGAAGATTATTCAAGTACTAATCAGATTTAATTAGCAGTTCAGAAAGAATTACATCAAAATGGAATTAATTTTGATAAATAATTTACTACAATGAATAATTAAAAAAAACAAATGGTAATAGCAGTCAACAAATAATTATATTTTAAATCAAGGAAAACTAAAGGCTATACCGAAGTATAACTAAACACATTACATAAGTTAAGCCTAACAGACTAAGTGTTCTGGTATGCCCCATATTTGGGCAGCATTCTTAGATTTAAATAATTGAGAAATAACTGCATCGATTCGCCAACTAATTAAATCGCAGCAGGTCAAACATAAAACCAGCCAAAGAGACCAACCGATAAAGTCAAATGGCCATGAAATTTAAGGAAATTTGCATCTAACGAGTCACGTGGTTCGTGCAATAACAGCAACAGCACGAAAGAATAAGCAACAGATTGATTGTTTGTAGTTAAACTCAAAACTATACAATTGGTTATCCGTGCTTTGCCATTACGGGTATCGAAACCCGGTTTCTAGTGGTATAAGTTCGCATACGTGCCACTGGGGGGGAGGGCTTTGCAAACAGAAGCACAAAGCTGCACAATGGGTTATCTGTGTTCTGCCCACCTTGGGTATCGAAACCCGGTTTCTAGCGTTGTAAGACACATCGTTGTGCCACTTGGGGGGGGGGGGCTCTGCAAAGAGAAGCCAACAACAACAACTTTGTTAACGAAACTCGAACAAAGAATGCAAACAGACTCTTGAAATATCAATAACATTAAGAACGCTTTCATAAAACCAGTAGCCAATTTATTGACCTAGTAGTGGTTGAAAGAAAATGGAAAAAGTAGATGGCGCTTTCTTTGAATAAAGGATAAATACTCTCAACACCAAAAGAAAAAACCTGACATTGTTAGGGAAGCTTTTTCCATTTCAAACAGTCAAAATAAATTTTAATTTCAGATTAGTTTTTGTGGTATTTTTGGACACAAATAATTTCCATGGAAAGATATATATAAGCTGGGATATAATACTTTTAATTAACAAGCGAATAAAGGCCCAGAAAACCGAAATAAAATAAATACAATATATTATTGAACATAGGACTGAAACATCTTTTTTTTTATATCGTAATAAACATTGTTTGTTTGTTTTTGTTTTGTTTTTGAATTTCGCGCAAAGCTACACGAGGGCTATCTGCGCTAGCCGTCCCTAATTTAGCAGTGTAAGACTAGAGGGAAGGCAGCTAGTCATCACCACCCACCGCCCAACTCTTGGGCTACTCTTTTACCAATGAATAGTGGGATTCACCGTCACATTATAACGCCCCCACGGCTGAAAGGGCGAGCATGTTTGGTAGTATGCGGATTCGAACCCGCCACCCTCAGATTCTGAGTCGAGCGCCTTATCCACCTGGCCATGCCGGGCCGTAATAAACATTAATAATATATTTAACACAACTAGCGATGACAACTCCCTCTCACACCAACCAACAGTACTAATTAAACTACACAATGGGCTATGTGCACTCTTTGCACCGCGGGGAATCGAACCCCCGATTTTAGTGGTGTAAGTCCGTAAATTTACCGCTAACTCACCAGGAGGCCATAAACAAGAAAATATTAAGAGATCAGATAAGCAGAAAGCTGTCCATGACATATTTTCTAAAGATGTAGTGAACCAATTAAACAAAAAAAAAATTTTCATGAAATTAAGATTACATGTTTGATTTATTTTCAAACTTCTTAAAACAAAAAAAAAGACCGAATTTATTCATTATTCAACAAAAGCTTCTAAAAAAATACATTAAAGATGTTCGAGTCATTATATACGGCTTCCGGGTAGCAGAACAGATAATAGATCCTAAAAATCTCCGACTTTGATATTATTTCAAAAACTCGCGTTTTAAGAGTGAAGAAATAATTTATGCATTAGTTGCATTTAAAACCGGTAGATGGCAAGAGCACGTACCTCATATGCACATATAGATCGATGGTTGTTGAGAGTAGCATAGGGACCGCTCTCGTCGCTGCAGGTGCTTAATTCTCCAACTTCAGAGAGATCACTGTGGTCGCTCTCGTCTGAGCTAGCTCCTTGGAGCACCTCTCGAAGACCCCGTAGATGTTCGTCCTGCTCTCTGAAGGCTATCCTGGCTTCTTCATTTGTTGGTCCTTAAAACAATAAAAAAAGGCATCTTAAAAAAAGATACAATTAGCAATTACGTCCTTGAATTTTAAATATGACACTAGGAACAAGACAATCGTGTTTGTTTTTTCATTATTGTTATTTGTCGGTGAAGAACGTCATCTTACTTGAAACGACCGTCTAACCGCTCCAATTACAAACACTGAATTATTTTACCATTCTTAACGGAAATAGTGGGAGGGAGCTAAAAGTTTTACCCAATATTTACGCTTGAACTTGACCAGCTGTTCTCGAATCGTTTCGTAAATGGTAGTTCAACATATTTACTAGGCCTGCGACGCCATAATATGCATTTTTCGGTATGGTTTATAATTTATTTTCAGAGTACTTCTAAGAGAATTTTTGACATATAAAAAAAAACGTGTCGTATCTTTTAATATTGCTCTTGAACAACAAACGTAAAAAATAGTAATTAATTATGATGGTAGGTTTCAGCTGTTTAAAGCAAGACGCGTTAACTGTGCGATAATTATCGACGTAAAATAACGCGAAATTATAAGAGGATCAGCGGTAAGCTGGATGAGGATTTGCAACGTTAGAATTCGGGGTTCGATCTCCGTGTGACACAACGCAGGTTGCTCGCTAAAACAAACAAGAAAGTACAAGCGCTTGCTAATGTGCACCATCCTTTCTGATCGCCTCATAATGTTAAGATATTATTAATAAATACAGGAAGTTGTTAACTCGACAATTATGGCGGGAAACTGTACTCTTAACCAATCTGGAGAAAGGATAAAATTTCTGGTATTTAGTTGCTAAAAAAAAAAATCCGATCGTTTTAAACCAAAATCGAATAAAAACATTTGGCAGTTTTTGTTAAGAATAACATATGAACTAAAGGTAATCTCTTCGTCTGTTACTTTAACGCAATTATTTTTCGAAGGTGTTAAATACTGCGAAATTATGTTAAATTAATTCCGTTGTCTTGATTTTTAAGATTTTGTACTCACTAAAGATCCAGTTACAAAGTTTAATAACATTTATAAGACATCAAACCCCGATTTTGTAATCTTATAATAGGATAAATGAGCCTGGGGTTCAGAGGAATGGTGAAAATGGATGTTAAAAAGTTCAAAAAAACTATGATTACGAATCCAAAACATTATTATACTGATCCATTGACGCTAAAGGAAATAAAACCGTCTACAAATCGACTTCTCAGTGGTTTATTTCAGAATTGTTTGATTTTGAATTTCGCGTAAAGCTACAAGAGGGCTATCTGCGCTAGCCGTCCCTAATTTAGCAGTGTAAGACTAGAGGGAAGGCAGCTAGTCATCACCACCAAACGCCAACTGTTGGGCTACTCTTTTACCAACGAATAGTGGGATTGGCCGTCACATTATAACGCCTCCACGGCTGAAAGGGCGAGTATGTTTGGTGGGACGGGGATTCGAACCCGCGACCCACAGATTGCGAGTCGAGTACCCTAACCACCTGGCCATGCCGGGGCCTTTTCAGAATTGAGGTAGCACATACACATCATATTGTATTAACTTTTCATGAAGTTTCGAGATTTTCAAAAATGGATGGGATTGAAGTTCGATGATGGTGCACGCTATTCCATTCGCTTGTGTGTATCGAATCAACATCTGTTAAGAAGGGACCAGAGCCAATCACAGCATTGAATTGGTGTCATAGGTTGTGGTACCTACACTGAGTGGCTAACATTCGTCCAATGGTTCTCCACTAAAGCCTATCCAATCTGGAGAACTTCAAGGAGGAAACTTGGATTGTGTGTGTGTGTGTGTGTTTGGATACTCACGGAAAGCTATGCAAAAACTGTCTGCGCCAGCGGTTTCTAATTTAGAAGTCATGGACTAGAAGGAAGGCAATCGGACCATAGCACCCACCGCCAACTCTTGAGCTACTTTTGTTTAACTGAATATTATGATTTGACCATCACTTTTATAACACACCCAAGGCCTCAAAGTGCCAAATGTGATTTTTTTTAGCGGTAACGGGATGCGAACATTGGACTTGCAGCTCCTTTGTCGGGCACGTTAGCCACTGAGCCACGTTCAGCTCCAAGACTGTGTGATGTATTGACATTATTTTATAACAGGGTTTTTTTTTGTCTTATCAGAACTATAATATTAATATTAATATAATATTATTCCATAACCACAGATGTACGAGGTTATTCCTTACTAATGTAGATCAAAATTTGTAATCGAAAGATATAACTGTAAAGCTGGGT